TGGAAACTGGACCTGGGTCCTCTCCATGAGTAGCCAGTGCTCTTACCCCCTGAACCATCTCTGCCAATCATTAGTTTATGTTTTGAAGCTGTTGTGAGTGGCTGGTCTTTTCTCAGTGACTTCATTACTGGTACACAGAAAAGCTTCACTGAATACGTTTTCTATGCCTTTGGTTTTCAATCTTTGCTCCTTCTTCACCCTATTAATTTTTTTCACTGTTTTTACTAGTATTATTTATGCATTTAATAATAACTGGGCTACCCAAATATGGGAAAAGTACCATGCACATTCAAATGTGTTTTATCATACAAAGAGTTTTTCTATTAGAAATAAACTATAAGCTACCAAGTTTTAATATGGACTTTTTCTTTCTTTCTTTTTCTTTCTAAAAATATTTTATTTATTGGAGCTGGAGAGATGGCTCAGCGGTTAAGAGCACTGACTGCTGTTGCACAAGAACTAGGTTCAATTCCCAGCACCCACAAGGCAGCTATGAACCATCCTTAACTCCAGTTCCAAGGGAATCCGAAGCCCTCTTCTGACCTCCACGGCACTGCATGACATGTGTGCACTTACCTACATGCTGGCAATACACTCATACACATAAAATAAAAATAATAAGTGAAATATTTTATTTATTTTGTGTATTGCATGCATGTAGGTAAGTGTACCCATGTTGTGCAATGCCCACAGAGGACAGAAGAGGCTATCAGATCTCCAGAAACTGGAGCTACGGACAGTTGTTAGCTGCCATGTGGGTGCTGGGATTCAAACCCGGGTCCTCTGTAAGAACAGTCAGTGTTCTTAACCGCTGAGCCATATCGCCAGCCCATAATATGGACTTTTTCATTAAGTAAGGTCAACTTCCTGTAATGAATTTGCAAATAACATCTCATGGCTAGACTACAGTAGTCACTTAAAACAAACACTTGTCCAGTCCAAACTTGCTGAAGCTCAGTAAATGGCGAGAATGGCCATTTTGCTACCACGGACCTTAACTCAGGGTTTTAGGCTCTCACTATCAATTACATTTTTATACATTCATTTACCACAAAAAAGACTACGGTAGAGTTGAAAGTAGAGAAAATTAGCTCTTGGTCCTCTTTTATGACTCATGTCCTTCTGCCTGCATTCCATCCTTCCTCACCATCTCATGTTTTCCTTTCTAAGTGCTACACTATACCCACACACCGACACTGGTTTACACACACACATTAGAGGCTATGATCTGTATGAGTGAGAGCATGGCTTTTTTTCTTTCTGCATTTGGGTCACCTTGCTCAATATACTTTCCAAGTTCATCCATTTCCCTGAAATTTTCATTTTTCTTTACAGGATAATATTCCACTTCACGCATGTACCACATATTCATTATCCATTCAGCTGCAGACAGGCATCTAGGCTGGTCCCATTGCTGTCTCTTACTTTTGGTCTCTTGGTCATGTTCCAGAGTTCTTGGGTGTTGTGATCATGCATATTTATCTTATTTATTGAAGTATGAATGCAGTGTTTTCTCAATACTGTTTCCCATCCCCAGTGTTCTTCCTGTGTTTGATACGGTCTAAGTAGTGCTTCCCACTGTTTTTTTCGTAATTTGACTGAAATGCTCACTTCTGATCTCCAGCTTCCTTACTGAATCCTGCACTCAGGTTCCTTTCTCTTGTACACTGCTGACTGTCCTCAATCTTGTGCCTGCTTGTTTCCTCTTTGTTAAAATTTTAGAAGTATATTCTTCTTAAAATTCTTGATTTATTTTTATTTATTTACCTATTAGTCTTTGAGACAGAGTGACTCTGTAGCCCCAACTGGCCTGGAACTCCCTATGTAGATCAGGCTGGGCTCTGGATTTCACAGATCTCTGCCTACCTACACCTCTGGAGCGCTGGGATTAAAGGTGCAAGCCACCATGCCTGGCCATTTTTAAGTGTATGAATGTCTGCACAAACACCACTTGCATGCAGTGCTTGAGGGGACCAGAAGAGGGTGTCAGATCCCTAGGAACTGGAGTTACACATATTTGTTAGCTACAAGTGGATGCTGAGAACCAAACCCAAGTCCTCTGCAGGAGGAGCCACTGCTCTTAACCACTAAGCTATTTCTCCAATCCCCCAAATCTATTTCTGTCTTTATTATTAGTTTGTAAAGCTATCCCCAAGCTCAGAAACCTTTTGCTGTCAATCTATTAACAAGCCCATCTAAAGTATTCATTTCTATTACAGTGTTCCTTTCTGGTCTCTTAAAATTCTCATTTCCAGTTGTCCATCTGCTCTATGTCTATTACCAGTTGAGTTTTTGCTTATCAGTAATCACAGTTGTCTTAAATTTTTGTCCCAATACCAACACCTCTACCCCTACCTAAGTTTAAGCCTGGTGTTGCTTCTGATACTTTCTGACAGCCAGCTATGCACTAAAAGAAGCTACTGTAAACAGGCCTCAGTAAGGACGTGGTGAGGTGCAGGAGGTGAGGGGCCCATGGTCCTGACTGATTACCGGTCTTTTAGCTTTTGTCCTTGGACTACCAATTCCAAAAGCTTTTCAGTTTTGTTTTCTCCCTTAGGTGAGAGCTGCCTGGAGTTGATTTCTGACACGAGGTAAGTTAACCTCAGATTAGGTTCATGAAGTAATTTCTCCAAAGGGGAGCAGCCCTTGTTAAGTGAGACTTGACGGTGCTTTGGGAGTACAATTTATCAAGGTGTGAGTTCCAGAGACTGGCTTCCCCTGGAGTTTTCATCTCCAGACTGGTCCCCAGCAGTTAAGAAATTATAGTTTTGGATTTCCACATGTGGTTCTGACTCCCCCATGTAGGTTCTTGCCCTCACAGTTGTATTCTCTGTATTTGGTTGTCTCCCACATCAATTTAGGGGCAGTGATTCCCACTGTGACCTCCTTTCTCTTTACCTATGGATCCAAAAAGTTACTGAGTTTTCATTCTGTTCAATTTTGTACTTGTTAGAATGGAGTGGTCACCTTCTTATCTTTTGGACCAGAAAGGAGAAACTCTCCTTTCTCTTGCTCTCTTGCTTTCTCATTATATACACATATATTATATGTTTAATTTTTAGACAGGATCTCACTATGCAGTCCAGGCTAGTATTGAACTCTTAATCTTCCTTCAGCCTCCCAACCCCTTCCATTAGGACTGTACATTCTTGTACCACTGTGCCCAGTTTAAAAGTCTCACTTTTCTTTTTAGATAATTGAATAGGAATTCAGCTTAACGAATGTATCTGCCTTGAAATACCTTGTCACAAAAATGAATGTCTTTCACACTAGTAAAGCAGCAAATAATTTTACATTAACGGTGGGCATGTTGGAGAACAATACTGAAGATTCACTAACTTGAATGAACAATGGAAGCAAGCCTAGGGGCCTGAATTCAGATCCCCAATACCTAGGTAAAAGCCAGGTTTGGCAGTGCAGGTCCGTAAGTCCAGTGCTGGGAGGTGGAGCAGAGACAGGCAGATCTGGGGGCCCACCGACCAAGCCCATCTAGCTGAAACACAAGCTCTATGTTTAGTGAGAGACCTGTCGCAAAAAACAATGCAGAGAGCAATAGAGGAGACATCCAACATCGAGCTCTGGCCTCCACATGCACAGGCATGGGCAGGTGCACTCACATACACATGCATATCACACACACGGAATATGATAAAAGTAAAATAAAAAGATTATCACTTCTTTAATTCCATTTGATAACAAAACTCTTCTAAAATGGTCTTGCCTTTTAAACAGGCTTTCTATTTCTGTGAGCACGATTTCCCGCTCCCACCAACTTTTTATTGTACCAGACTCCCTTTCCCCTAGTCACAAGAGTGGACACCCGAACCAGAAAGAGCCAATAAGAATTCTTCCTCAGGTTTTTTAAAGGCCGAGAGAGTTTTCTTCCACTACTGTCCACGTCCAGTGGCCCCGTTGTAGCTTTGTGGGGAAAGCTGTTCTGAGAGGGCAAAACCAACAATTACTGAGTAAAAACAGCCTTAAAGTGCCTGGACTGAGATGTGGGAGGCCACCTCTATTTTGGCCCATCCCCCCTTTAAGTTTTGTTTTTATTTCTCTGTCTCTGTCTCTCTCTGTGTCTCTGTCTCTCTTCTCTCTCTCTCTCTCTCTCTCTCTCTCTCTGTGGGGGGGTGTCTGCATCTGGGTATGCCATGTACATGAGGACGTCTGCAGAAGCCAGAAGAGGACATTAAAGCCCGTGGAGTTGGAGTAACAGGGGGTTGGGAGTCACTGGATGTGGGTGCTGGTGACTAAACTTGGGTCCTCAGGAAGAACAGCAAGTACTCTTAGCCACTGAGCCATCTATCCAGCCCCATTTCCTTTTTTTTTTTTTTTTTTTTTTTGTCTTTTTGAGACAGGGTCTCCCTGTAGCCCCAGCTGTCCTGGATTCACTATGGAGACCAAGCTGGCCTTGAACTCACAGAGATCTGCCTGCCTCTGCCTCCCAAGTGCTGGGATTAAAGGCGTGCACCACCATGCCCAGCTCCCATCCCTTGTTTAATGGGATCATAGAGCCATTTGAGTTGGACTTATGCCCCAAGTTGGGTCCAGAAAAGGGTTTTCTCCTTTCCTTATCTCATATCCAAAATGTTATCTCTGCCAGAACAGAGAAAAGGACCTTTTGTTTCTGTCACACCGGGATTATGCTACAAGAAGCTGTTGAGAGAAGCTGAGTTTTACCAGCACTTCACTCTCAAGAATCCAAAATAACTAAGCTGTAGAGCAGACTAGAAAGGAAAGAACTATAATTCTTTGATTTCTCTTGGATATTTGCTATAAAGGAAAGGAACTGCAGTAGATGCCATAGAGGTAAAGGAGCACTGATTAGAGGACAAATCAGAGAACTGTACAAAATGCCTAGTCCTTCGGGATGACAATGATCGCTGCCCTTTGGCCATCCTGGGCGCTACAGGGACTATAGCACTAGGGGAGGACTAGGCAATCAAAAGACATAACACTAAGCTTGGCACAACTGCACAGATTTAAATCACTTGCTAGAATACCTCCACTTCGGTTATGTCTTCCAGTGACCCCAACAGAAGAAGGATTTCGATGTCTTGGACTTTGCAGTCAAGCAGCAGGTTATGCTTCTCCAGTCGCTTCTGTTCCAGAGAGCCCTGGATGACTACCATTTCCTTCTGTAATTTTCCCATTTCCCTGTAAATGAATAGATATGAAAAGTGAGTTTACTCATTATCCAAATGCTATATTATAAACCTACATGAAAAATTATTTTCCTGTGAGTGCTCTAAGTGCTAGAGTTCACAATTTAAATATTACCACTCCTGACAGAGACCATCAATGTAGAGAGTCAATCCAAGAGAACACGTTCACTAACTGTTTCTGCTTTAATCAAAGCTGGCAAAGACGCACTGTCCTTGGAGTTACCGTAATTATATTTTGAGATAAAGTTATGCTACAGAACCCCACTTAACTTAAAATTCTGGGTTCTCTTGCCTCACCTCCTAACTGCTATGATTACAGGCATATGCCATTTATTTACTGTCTGTTTGAGTCCTTTTTTAGACTCTTTGTAGCCCCAGTTGGCATGGAATTATGTAGCCAGGCTGGCCTCAATCTCACAGAGATCTATCCAGTGGCCTCAGCCTCCTGAGTGCTAGGATTAACAGTTTGTGTTGCCACACCCAGCCCTTATTTTCTTTCTTTCTTTCTTTTTCTCTTTCCTTTCTTTCCTGCCTATCTATCTATCTATCTATCTATCTATCTATCATCTATCTATCTATCTATCTATCTATCTATCTATCTATCTATCTATTTATCATCTTCCTTCTATATTTTATCTACCTATCTCTATCTCTCTATCTCTAAGTCTAGTTTATTTTTCTTAACACAATGCTCTCCAATTCCATCCACTTTTCTGCCATATGACATGATTTCAATTTCAGGGCTGAATAACAAGACAATGCTTTGCGTCTGTCTAGCACATTCTTCATTCATCAGTTGATGGACACCTTTGGCCCTTATTTTAAAACCTACAATTTAAAGAGAACCTGCATTTCTCTTTCACGTAAGCTGTATCTTTTAGCCTAAAACTAGGAGAAAGACATTAAAAAGACAAGTATCAGGCAATCACTGCATTCCTAGCAATCTGGTTTCTATTACTAAAGTAATGCCCTATCTGAAAATGAGGGTTTGAGGCTTACCACTGAGATAATTGTGGACTTTCAATAGGACCCAGAAGGACAAAAAGAGAAAAAGAAAAATGAGAGGATACAGAAGGGAGCAAGGAAGGGAGAGACCGAGGTTTTCAAGAATATGAAGAAAAGCCAGGCATGGTGGCACACACCTTTAATCCCAGAACTCCAGGGGCAGAGGCAGGTGGATCTTGGTAAGTTTGACGCCAGCCTGTTCTATGCAGAGTTCCAGGCCAGCAGGGCTACACGAGAACCTGTCTCAAGAACATAAACAGACAATCATGAAGGGAATTTATACTAAATGTTAAGTTACAAAGTCAGAAATAGAACATTTCAATCCTACTAAGAGTAACAGACAACTTTCTGGCTATATCTGAAGCACTAAAGGTCTCTGGATAGTAAGGAGAACTGTGACCATGCCAAGACATTCATCAAAGAAAGGAGGTCATGGTCACGTCACTCACAAGCAAGCAGATATCATTTTGATAAAAATCAGCTGACTGAGGGCTTCGTTGTTGTGATGGCAACTCCAAGGCTTGTCAGGTGCCAGACACCATCTTAAATGCTGTCAGGTATTAATTCATTCAATCCTTACAAATATTTTGGGGGTCAGACATTTTATTATCCTGATTTTGCAGATTCAGAAATGACGGTCCCGGGATAAGGAGAGGTGCTGGGATGGCCCCCAGGCAGCTGGCTCCATTCTATTGCCTCATTTTCTGCTATTTCACACAGACAGAAAGGAAATCTCTGGATGACCGAAGACGTCAACCAGTGTCAAAAGGGATTTAGGGTAAAGGACTATGCACAGGTTCACATTTTCAGTCACCAAAAAGAACATCACTCTAATACCACCTCTTCTAGTCTCCCCCACATTAACTATTCAGAAGGTGGTGTGTGGGACCAGAGCAACAACAACAACAACAACAAAAAAAAAAACAATTCACACAAGTTGATAATAAATATCAAACTGAAAGTACAAGATTAAAATACTAACTAGGTTTTTCAAACTGATGAATTATTAATTACCTATCAACAGCCAGAAACTTCTTCCGTTCCTCTTCAATTTGAGTGTGAATTTTCTCAATGTTGGAATTCTGAGTGGCAAGAGCTTCCTTAAGTTGTTCCTGCTTCCCCAGGAGTTCATCCACAATTTGCAGACAGCTTTCTTCAGTCTGAACACAAGAGAAGTTGCATTATAGATTTATCGTATTTTATGTTAATGGAGTCAACAGGTTCTGTTCTTATCCCTAAGACCAACTAGTCCTCCTAAGGTGACGCTCGTATCCTGTGTGCTGCTTAACCTGCCATAGACTGGACCCCTTCTCACTCTATGCTCTTTGGAAACTGAAACTCATTCTTGGCCTTCGTCTTGTTTTGTATCCACTCTTCCACTTGCTACCCCCTGACTGCCATTCCCTTTGTGCAGTGGAGATGTTCTTGACACTATGCCCTCTAATTGTCAATTAAACAGACATTATAGACTGTCTTCTATTTATTTTGGTCTTTTTGAGACAGGATCTCCCTGTAGCCCCAGCTGGCCAGGAATTTGTATATAGACCAGGCTGGCCTCAAACTCAGAGATCTCTGCCTTGCAGGTGCTGGGATTAAAGGTGTGCACCACTGGGCCTGGCTGCCTTTTATTTTTGAGCAGGTTTCATCACTTCCTCCTTCCTACAGTGCTGGCCTCTGTGCTGCCTCCTCTTCTGGCTTTCTGCCTAACCTTTCTGACCTTTCCAGAATCCAAACTGTTTTTCCATTCTTCAGTGCTCTCCACCTGCCTGAGACTCAGTCTTTGTTATATGGTTTCAATTTACACATATCAGCAACTCTGGCCAGGTATGGCACACACGTCTGTAATCTAGCTCTCAGAAGGCTGAGGCAGGAGGATTGTGAGTTTGAGGTCAGCCTGGATACACAGTGAAATCCTGCCTCCCAAAACAAAGCAAAACAAAAACCCGGTCAGTAACTGTGAAATCTGCAGTGCCAGCCAGTTCTGCTGTTGCCTACGTTCTGGAATTATCTCTGGCGCTCCTCACCTGTCCTTCCCACTTGACATCCAGTAACTCGTCAAGTTCTGACACCTTTACTTTAGGTATTTCTCCAATCTATTGCCCCTAATCCCATGATGCACCTTTAGGTGCTCAAAAAATGGCTACTCGTGAAGAAGTCATCATTTCAACAAAGAAGCACTTCAGCCCCCATTATTAATTTCCTTCTTTAGGTTATCGATGTCATCTTTGCCTTTCTGGATAGTTTCATTCAATGTGACGATCTTACTCAGTTTTTTCTTCAGCTGATTCCGACTATATTCAAGCTGAATATTAAGCCGAGTTTTTTGTTTTTCAAATTCTAATCTAATATAATGAAACCACTCATTACAAGGGTTAAGAGTGCTTTGATTCTTATAGGAAATTTAAAACACAAATGCAGTGAACTACAGGTAGCTTACATGCATTTAACAATTCTCTGTTCATGGTTAACCTTGTCTCAGCTATAACACCACTCATAGCTACTGGATTATCTGATTCAAATGCTAGACATCAGGTAATTTATCAGTAGTTTTCAGTATTTTATGTCCACTAATGACAGTGACTATTAATTCATAAGTATAAACTGTTATACCTTAAAAATATAAAATATCTTTAACATAAAATTATTATATATATTTGGTCTTTTTGAAACAGGGTCTCCCTATAGCCCCAGCTGAGATCTGTCTGCCTGTGCCTCCCAAGTGCTGGGATTAAACGCATGTGCTACCATGCCCGGCTCATATGAATGTTTCTCAAGTCTTTTATAAGCTATAGGCTATCTATCTACTTTTTCTTTAAGTTACAACCTATACATCCATTTTTAGTCTTTGTGAATATTGGTCTTTTTGAAACAGGGTCTCCCTATAGCCCCAGCTGAGATCTGTCTGCCTGTGCCTCCCAAGTGCTGGGATTAAACGCATGTGCTACCATGCCCGGCTCATATGAATGTTTCTCAAGTCTTTTATAAGCTATAGGCTATCTATCTACTTTTTCTTTAAGTTACAACCTATACATCCATTTTTAGTCTTTGTGAATAGCTATTCCTATATAAACTTCAAACTTGGGAAATTAACAAGTTCCTTCTTGACACACTTTCTTATTTTGCTAGCTCCATAAACTCCTAACAGCGAATTCTACTATCAACTGAGTATGTTGGTCTATGTTTGCAACCCCAGCACCTTGGGGATGTAGGCAGGAGGATCATGAGTTTGAGGCAAGTTTGGGTTACATTTGAATAATCCAGTTATTTTTGCTTTATTTTTATTTTATGTGTGTGTATTGTGTGCATGTATACAAGTGTACCCGTGCCGTGCAATGGCCATGGAGGTCAGAAGAGGGCACCAGATCCCTTGGAACTGGAGTTACAGGCAGTTGTTAGTTTCCATGTGGATGCTAGGAATCGAACCCAGGTCTTCTGCAACATCAGACAGTACTCTTAACTACTGAGCCAGCTCTCTAGCCCTGAATAACCCAGTATTTGCTATGAAGGGGCTATGACACATAATGTAAGCTTCCATCTTTAAAAGCTACAAAGAGAAAAGTAAATCAAAACAAGTATAAGGGAAGAGACAATGACAGTTCAGAAACACAGAAACAAACAAACCATGAGCAAAACCAAGAGGCAGTCTCAAAGGATCTGGAGTACTGACAGACCTCTAGCAAGACCCGAAGAGGAAGAGACGACAAATCACCAATATCACAAATGAAAGTGTCAGTAAAGATGACACACCTTAAAAAAGTGTATTGTGAGTAACTTTATGTTAGTAACTCTGATGAAATACTCAAAAACACAAACTACCAACTTGCTGGGCGTGGTGGTGCCTGCCTTTAATCCCAACACTCGGAAGCAGAGGCCAGTCTGGTCTACACAGTGAGTTCAGGTCAGTGAGGGTTACAGGGAGACACCCCCCCCAAAAAAAAAAGAAAGAAAAAAAGAAAAAGGAAAGAGATACTCTGGACTTCATAATGAACAATCCTGTATTTAAGGCACTGGCAGTAAAAGCCTTCCCCCAAAGGGGTTGGGTAGCCCAGGTGGGAAGGAATGGTATCAGTTCCACACAATCTCCTCCACAAGGAAGGTAAGAGACTAACAGAGCTTGTTTTTAACATTACCCTAATGCCAAAACATGACAATGATATCACAGCAACAACTACAGCTCATTATACTCAAAGTAGATGCAAGATTCCTAATAGAATTTTATCAAGTCAAAAAAATATATGAAAAGGGCAGCACATGACGACTAAATTGGGTTCACTTTAGGCATCAAGGTTGCTGGACATTAAAAAATCAATATAAATTATCACTGATATTTAGAATATTGGTACTTGTAAAATCTATCAACACAAAGATCTCAATAGTTCCCAGAAAAGTTTATCAAAATTCAACATTCATATGGTAAAAATTTCTGTGAAGGAGACCGCCTTAGTTTGATGAAAAGTATCTTAAGTAATCAATGAAAGAGATAACAGAACTAATGAGTTCAGAGTTCAGTAAAGTTTTAGGACATTAATTTAAAAAAAAACCTATTTTAAACTAGGTGTGGGAGTGCATGCCTTTAATCTCAACACTTGGGAGGAAGAGACAGGCAGATCTCTGTGAGACGGAGGCCAGCATGGTCTAAAGAGCAAGTTATAGGTCACCTGGGCTACAGAGTGACCCTGTTTCAAAACAAACAAACAAAACAACCAAAACCCGCCAAAATTTCATTAAAAATTTCCTTAATTTGGGGCTGGAGTGATGGCTTGCCTGTTAAGAGCACTAGCTGCTCCTGAAGAGGACCTGAATTTGGTTCCCAGTACCCACATGGCAGCTAACAACCATCTAGAACTCCAGTTCCAGGGGATCTGACACCCATCTGTTTATTATTTATTTATTTATTTTATTTTCATTTTATGTGTATGAGTGTTATGCCTGCAAGTGTGCAAGTGCACCCATGTTGTGCAATGCCCACTGAGGTCAGAAGAGGGTGTTGGATCCCCTGGAACTGGAGTTACGGACAGTTATTAGGTGCCATGTGGGTGCTGAGATTTGAACCTGGGTCTTCTGAAAGAACAATCAGTGTTCTTAACTGCTGAGCCATCTCTCCAGCCCCATCGGCACCCTTCTCTGGCTTCCACAGTCATTACATACATGTACCTACATGTAGGCAATACACTTGTATCACATAAAAATATTAAGTTTTTTTCTGTGTGTGTGCGGGGGAGGGGTGTAGTAATACAAGCCATGGTGCAAATGTGGAAGTTACAAGACGAGTTCTTGGAGTCTATTTTTCCTTTGCACATTTACATGGCTTCTGGGGATTTAAGTCAGGTCTTGAGGTTTCATGATCCATGGAGACATCTCACTGGCCCTAGTTTTATTTCAATATATTACCAATACACAATTTAAACTGAAAATGTAAAACAATACAGTTACAATACACAAAGATATGAAGTGCTCAGGAACACCTATCATGAAATTTTATACACTAAAAGCTAAAGACCATTAATAAGAGAAATTAATGATGACCTAAATAGGTAGATACCCTGTTATGGATCAGTATTAAGACATCAATTCCTCCTAAATTGATCTTTCCTAGATTAAATTTAGTCCAAATTAAAAAAAAGCAAACAATTGAAGCCAGGTGTGGTGGCACATGCCTTTAATATCAGCACTTGGGAGACAGATTCAGGATTTCTGTGAGATCGTGAACAGTTTGGTCAAGCTCCAAGTCGGTTGGGGCTACATGGAGATCCGGTCTCACCCCTCCTCAAATTGAAAAACGGATCCTACAGTCTACAGGGAAATGCAGAGTATTCTTAAGTTCTTAGGAAGGGAAGGTGGCACATGGGAGGCACAGAGTAAATACATGTTGAATGGAATATGAAGGAATATGAAAGAATTATAGAGAATAAACAGAAAGGGCATGAGCCACAATAGTGATAATTTTTATTCAGGACAAAGATGTTTTCTTGATGTTTCTCCCAGGTGCATATATTACTACTGTATTTCAGCACTATATTTGAATACATGATCTATCCTATATTGCATATATACCATATATATGGGGCACAAAAGGTGAAGGTGGACAAAAAGGAAGAAGTGTCTTCTCACCTCCAGTCTCCCCAGAGGCAGCTGCTGACCATGTTTTAACACACATGGATGCACATCTTTCCAAGTGCCACTTGTCTTCTGACTCTCGTTACGCTTTTACTGTATAATCTAAGTTTTCCTATGTATTTGTATTGTTAATCTTTTCTTTCATGGCTTCTTGGATTTATGCCATACTGATAATTCTTTTATACTCAGAGATGATTTTTATTTGTTTTGCTTTATTTTTTTGTTTTTTTTTTTTGAGTCTCCCTGTAGCCACAGTTGACCTGGATTTGCTATGGAGACCAGGCTGGCCTCAAACTCAGAGATCCACCTGCCTCTGCCTCCCCAGTGCTGGGACTAAAGGCATGTGCCACCATGCCTGGCTCAAGGTTGATTTTTAAAGATCTTTAAAAAAATTTGTTGGAACTGGAGAGCTGGCTCAGCGGTTAAGAACATTGGTTGTTCCTGCAGAAGACCGGGATTCGAATCCCAGCACCAAAATGGCAGCCAGCAATTGTCCTGTCCGTAACTCCAGTTCCAGGAGATCCAAGAGCCTCTTCTGTCTTCTGCGGGCACTGCACGACACTGGTGCACTTACCTACACATAGGCAATATACACATACACATAAAATAAAAATAGCATTTTTAAAAAATTTGTTTATGTGTATGACTCTGTGTGTATGCCTTGAAAGTTTGGGTGCCTGTAGAGTCCAGAAGAGGGTGAGGGATCCCCTGGAACTGGGGTTATAAGTGGTTGTGAGCCGTCCAACATGGAAACTGAACCCCAATCCTCTCCAAGAACAGCAAGCACTCTTAACCATTGAGTCATCCCTCCAGCCTCCAGAGATTCTTTTAAAAATTCTCTTATGGGGCTGGAGAGATGGCTCAGAGGTTAAGAACACTAGTTGTTCTTGCAGAAGACCCAGGTTCGAGTCCCAGCACCCACAAGGCAGCTAATGACTGTAACTCTAGTCCCAGGGGATCTGAGAGCCTCTTCTGACCTCCACAGGCATTGCACAGCACAACATGGGTGCACAGACCTACATGCAGGCAATACACACATACACATGAAATAAAAGTAATAAAGAAATTGTTTAAAAATTCTCTTATGACACTATTTTTATTTTAGTTACTTTATTTTAGTTATTTTACTTTATGTGTATGTGTGTATTGCCTGCATGTAGGTAAGTCTAAGGGATGAAAAAGGGATTAAGGCATTTTTCAAATCATATGTATCTCAACATGCTTTATTGAAATACATAACTTTTAAAAATATTTTATTATTTTATTTTTTGTGTATGAGTGTATTGTCTGCATGTATGTGGGTGTACCTGTGCCGTACAATGCCTCAGAGGGCAGGAGAGGGCTTTGGATTCCCCTGGAACTGGAATTAAGGATGGTTCTTAGCTGCCATGTGGATGCTGTTAGAGTCCAGGTCTGCAGATGACTCTCTCCCTGTGCAGAAAAGTCTCATGAGACAGGACATGAAAGGCCCCCTTGCAAAAGATGAACTGGCCAGGCAGCTGCATTTGCAGCTATCTCAGCACAAAGCTGTTCTTCAGCTAATTTTAGAAGATAAACAGGCCCCTGCACCCAGACCAACTGATAGAAGAGCTGTCTCAGTTGAAGCTACTTCCCCTGAAACTGTAAAGATTATTTTTGCCACCTTCCACATTCCCCAACCCCCTATAAGAACTTCCCTAGCAGTCAGCAGGCGGCTGGTTGCTTTCTCTCCCCAGCTGAGCTGCCAGCTACCAGCAAACCTAAGAAATAAACTTTGTTTTGTTGGAGGCCTCCTGTGTTTTTTGTGGCTATTCCCTGCCTGGCTTTTATCTAACAGGTACTAGGAATCAAACCCAGGTCCTCTGCAAGAGCAGTCAGTGCTCTTAACCACTGAGCCATCTCTCCAGCCCCTGAAATACATTAATTTTTGTACACTGACACTAAATATCAAACTTTCCCTTATAGATTTGAGTACATTTCTGGAACAATTTATGAGCAAGTGCTGAAAGGCTTATACTATGCTGGAGAGATGGCTCTGTGGTTAAGAGCCCTCACTGTTCTTTCTGAGGACTGGAGTTCAGTTCCCAGAACCCATGTTGGGTAACTTACACACCTGTAACTCTTGCTCCAAGGAGTTCTGATGCCCTCTTCTGGTCTCCGGGGGCACCCACACAAATGCATATATACATAGCCATAGGAGCTCTAGTCCTACTTCACCGCTTCCCTTCACATTTTTCTTATCTACTACATGTGAATTCTAGAATCTGCTTATCTATTTAAAACAATAATGTCGTAAAGGTGATATGTTAGCTGTAGATTAATTTAGGGAGACTCAACCTCTTTATAAAAGAACTACTAAGCCAGGCGTGGTGATGCATTCCTTTTATCCCAGCACTCGGGAGGCAGAGGCAGAGGCAGGCGGATCTCTGTGAGTTCATGGCCAGCCTGGTCTACATAGTGAGTTCCAGGAAGCTCCTTGGGGATCTAAAAAAAAAAAAAAAAAAAAAAAAAAAAAAAAAAAAAAGAACTAGTAAGGAGTCTGACCTCCACTGCCGCCAACTGCCACCTCAGCTTGCACCTCTGCCGCACACACCATGGGAGCCATGACTGATGATACAGCCAGTACCAGTGCGTGCTAGAGCACACTGTCTCAGTGTAAATTTTCAATGGGCAAACTTTGCTAGTATATGATTTGAATCTCAGAGAAATGGAAAATTATGAAAAAATTTACAAAGAAATAGAATGTAGCACTGCAGGAGCACATGAAAAATTGCTGAGTGCACATGAAAAAATTGCTCAGTGCAAAAAGCAAGTTCTTCAAGCAAACCAAATATGGAAAAATCGCCAAGAATATGATGCTCTGGCAAAAGTGATCTAGCATCACCCAGACAGGCATGAGACTTTAAAGGAGCTAGAAGCTCTGGGAAAAGAATTAAAAGCACCTTTCACATATTAAGAAAGTGTTGAAGATAAGCTGGAATTGAGAAGGAAACAATTTCATGCTCTTTTTAGTACCATCCACGAGCTCAACAAACATTTAAATGACGAAAAGCTGACAGAGGCAGAAGACGCTCAAACAACCATCATGGAAGCAGGTCCGAAGATGGCAAACAGCTGGCCATTCCCAAGGGTGTTAACACTCATGATTTGAGTGTGTTTAGAATCTGTTGTGCTCTTGGGGTATGTCAAGTTGGGCTGGGAAGTACTTTGCTTTTAAATATAATGCATGTCTCATTCATATTTCTTCACACAAAGGAAATGAGTTTAGTGTATATTTTTATTCTTAAAGGTAGAATTCAACATCTAAAACTATTTAATAAAATGTCTCAAGTCAGAAAAAAAAAAAGAACCAGTAAGGCTGTCCTTCTTGTCCTAGTTTCTGTTGGACTTCTTTGTAAGGAAATGAAGTGTTAGTAGCTTCTCTGCCCTCCGTAGTTCTGGGCATCAAACCAAGGCAGGGCCTTGTGCATGCAGGGCAAGTGTGAATGCCTGCTGCTCTACTATTTTTTGTTGAATTGAAATAAAGACTCCTCAGGTATCATTCCCTTAAATTAGGAAATAGTTTATATATATATATATGTGTGTGTGTGTAAATATGTGTGTACATGTATGTAAACCGCTTACCAAGTTTTAAATGAAAGTACCTTTTTTGATCATTTTCTTGCTGCAGTTTAACATGTTTGTTCTCAAATTCATGTATATTTGCCACACCAATTTCTTCACAGAAGTGTTGGAATATGTCATCTTCTACCTTTTAAATTATGTTAAAAAAACTGGTTAAGTAACTAATTTTTAAAAACAGTGCTTAAATATAATTTTTCACTCCAACATTTTCCCAATTAGGCCAAAAGCTAATCAGAGCATTACTGCAGTCAGCCAGGGCTTTCTCTTCCTTTTCCTCCATAAACCATGCTCATTTATTTTCAAATTTCTTATTCAAGAAACTAAATGAAAAAGCTCATGAACTGGCCTCAGTAAGTGGCACTATGCCTACACAGTTTGCGATAAAGCTGGGAGAATTCCATTTACTTTGATCACGATACATGGATACTCTTTCTATAAGTGAGACAACAGCATCTCAGACAGTGCGAGTGACTCATGAAGGCCAGAGCATGGATCAATAGCCACTGAAACCTGGAAATCTAGCCAACCTAAATACCCAAAATAAGATCTAACCTCAAATATGAACAGGATTAGCAAGTCACATTAAAAAGTTTTGGATGTCACTTGAATATATTAAATATTAATACGGTAAGACTGTACAGCAGTAAGCTACATCAATGTAAACAAATAATCCAAATCATGGGAAGCTATGTACATAGAGTCTATGTACTCTGTGCTGGTCAGATATTTTGACATTATGGTCTATTCTGGGCATGGACAAATAACAACATCGAAAGAATGTTTCTAGAGCTTAAATCCATAGTAATGGGGCTAGAGAGATGGCTCAGTGGGCAAGAACACTGGTTGTTCTTGCAGAAGACCCGGGTTTGAATCCCAGCACCCACATGGCAGCTAACAACTGTCTGTAACTCCAGTTCCAGGGAATCCCACGGCCTCTTCTGTCCTTGTGGGCGCTGCACGACACAGGTGCACTTACATACATGCAGGCATGTACGTACACACATACACACATACACATAAAATAAAAATAAATATTTTAAAAACTGAAAAAAAAACCCATAGTGATATGACATGATTAAATAACTTAGGGATACTTAGCCTAAGTAGGATTCAAATCCTGTGAAAAAGGTAAAACTGAAGCAGTAGGTAAAAGCTACAGAATGGCAGTGGGACAAAGAACTTTCTAAGGGCTAATGACACCCAACAGTATAGTGAATTAAGTCAGGAGTGTTCCTGTCACTTTATGAGCAGAGGCTAGGTGAGCATATCTTGGTGTCCAAGAGCCAAGTACCATACTTGGAATATAATGGCTATTAGAAATAATTGTTGAGCCAACAACCTTCAGGGATAACACAAATGACATTTTTTTGCCTTCTGATGTTACATGACAGTGGAGAAAGAAAGAACCAAAATCATGACAGTGGGCAAGGCGGGGGAGGGGCTCACAAGCAGACAGCCTACACAATGGTCCTTATTTTGAGTCTCAGAGGGTGCAAGAATTAATTTGGCAAACCAATAAAACTCAGGCTACAATGATATCTGATAAGAAACGGGTGCCCATCAGTCTTTGCTCCAGTACACAGCAAGAAGCCCTAAATCAGGAATCTGGTCTCAAACTAGATTCTATATATCATCTAGTAGTAAGTGTAGTCTTTATTACCTTATCTATCTTTTCTTGAAATGCTTCAATTCTTTGCTGTTGCTCATTGATTCCTTCACTCAGCATAGTACACTGAGACTCAATATTTAGTAATTCACTTTGTAGCTGAGACTGTTCCTAATAACAAAAGAAGGTTTTATTTCTTTTTAACATGGCTATTTTATTTTTATACAGTGAGGCTAAAAACATGATAGGGTTCTTTTGCAATAAATGAAGAATACATTAACTACAATGGACTCTGGTAAAGCCAGATAATATGATTAAATACCATAAAAATAATCAAGGACTAGCCAGGTGTGGTAGCACACGCCTTTAATCCCAGCACTCAGGAGGCAGAGCCAGGTGGATCTCTGTGAGTTCGAGGCCAGCCTGGTCTACATAGTGAGTTCCAGGACAGCTGGGGCTACAGAGAGACCATGTCTCAAAAAGACCAAAAAAAAAAAAAAATCAAGGACTGTAATATAATACTAATCAAGGAATAAAAAATCTAAAAATTATACAACACCATATAAATGTAATTCCTCAAATTCTATATTCTGGTCCAAATTCTCGTCAAATTTTACACATTACCCAGTAAAAAGCATCAAGGTGCTTCTTTTTAATCATCTCTAGTTCATTTTGGGAATACTTGAGTCGGGTACTAGTTCCTTGTACTAGAGCCTGTATTTGTTTCAAATCTGTTTCCTTTCGGAGTGTCTTCATTAACTCCTAAAAAGACAAATGTAGGAACATTTTGGGATGGAAAAGCACTTTGATGACTTTTCAACGTTTTCATATATAAAGATTAATTTTAGATACAACCATTTGACATATTTCTTCCAATAAGAGGGTGTGTAAATACATTCGCCATCTGGAGTAAGACAGCATACAACTTCCTCAAAACACTAACACTTGCCAACAGAAGAGAATTAGGCATGGAAAATGAAGAATGGGGGCTGTCCTGGGCCATGTCCATTGCTAGCCTGTGTGGGGTCCTCTGACAAGTATACATAGTGCACCTCTTTTTGTTTCACTCATCTCCTTCCTCTTACTCTATTACTCAACCAAAAAAAAAAATGAAACTGTATTTTCACTCTAAGTTCTTATGGAATACAAACATGTATATGTAAATATTCACCTGTATCTCTTGGTTTTTGTTCTTGCTCTTTTGAGACAGGATTTCACTATGTAGCACGGGCTAGCCTGGAACTCCCTATGTGGGCCAGGCTGGCTGAACTCACAGGGATCTGACTGCTTGCTTCCATATCCAGAGTGCTGCTATTAAAGACATATGCCACCATGCCTGGCTTTATCTATTGTTCTTTTTTTCCAGTCTTTTTGAGACAGGATCTTCTTATAGCCCCAGCAGGCCTGGAACTCACAGAGACCTGCCTGCCTCTGCCTCCTGAGTGCTGGAATTAGGTTTTGCAAATTTAGACTCAGATGGAATATGCTTTTCTGAATCTTGCTTCTCTCAGTAATTTGAAGTCTTTCTTTCAATGGCTGAGTATTTTTCCACAGTATGACTGTACCAAAATTATTAGACTATTCTCTTAATGATGGACATCCACTCTAAGGTTCTGATACCCCAAACAATGCTAGAAGAGCATCTCTGTATATATACCTCAAGACAGGCAGTACTGTATTTATTTAATATATGCAAACAATGGAAGACTGAATATTCTTTTTCTTACATTTTTACTAGCACTTTTTCAAGGCTTATTTATAAGAACAAAGCAATCTGAATCTACACATTAACTCAATAGTGAGCTTGTCTTCTTACTTCCTGATCATATAGAGATCTTTCAGTGAACTAATACTATTCTTTGCTTAGCTATTTTCTCAAAATGAATGTCTTTTCCACATCAAATTGCAAATATTTAAATTAGTTATGTAACTTTGCCACAGCAGTTCCTTGAATCAAAAACTGGTAATCTGTACAGATAGAAAAGAAACTTAACTTGGAAAATGGGAAACAATCTGAAAATAGTCTGTTGATTTAATATATTTTGAACATGACATTGCAAGTAAGAGGGAATTACAATAGTCAGTAAGTGAGGGGAAGTGGCAAGTCAGCAGGAGCAGGAGGCTGCCCTAGTCTGAGTTCTCCCGCTGTGATAAAATGCCTGTATCTCGCTCACAACTCCAGGTTACAGTCCATCATTTCAGAGAAGCCAAGGAAGTAGAGACTTGACGGAGCTAGCCACAGGGCATTCACAGTCAAGAATGGAGAGAAATGCCTACCTGTATTCAACCTCTTCTCTATACCACACAATCCAGGACCCAAACCCAGAACATGGTGCCCAGTAGTGGGTAGTGGGCTGGGTCTTCCCCCATCAATATAATCAAAACAATCCTCTGCAGACAGACCCACCCACAGGCCAACCTGACTGACAGCCCTCATGGAGACTCTTCCCAGGTGATTTTAGGTTGTGTTGTTAGCAGTTAAAGCTGTTTTAACCAGCACATCCCCATCCCGAGCACACAAACATGCCACTTTAAACCATAACTTACCACCGCTTTCCTAAAGTCTCATGTTTATCTCATAATGTTATTTTATTTTTTTAATATTTTATTTTTTTTTTTTGGTCTTTTCGAGACAGGGTCTCCCTGTAGCCCCAGCTAACCTGGAACTTGCTACATGACCAGGCTGGCCTTGAACTCAGAGATCCACCTCCCAAGTGCTGGGATTAAAGGTGTGTACCACCATGCCCAGCTCATAATGTTATTTTTTAAATTTTTATTGAGCTTTTGTAATTTCATACAATTCTTAATCAAATTTAGACCCCCTCCCCCATTCATGCCTCCCCCATCCCCTCACCGGACCTCATGTATTCCGTCATACATGTTAATTCCTATCCATTCAGACATTTGTATCCAAATGTCCTTCAGTGTAAATTTGTCCATTGGAGTCTAGTCAGCCCATCTGGTGGTCCTGTGCAAGTCATACTCTCCTACTCTCCCTCATCCAGCAGCAATCATTCTCCAACAGTTCTCAGTCTAGTGCTGGCCCACCATCTATTTCTCTCCTCCCATTTGGGCAACTTTTCCAGTGTCTGCATACGTGTCCATAGAAAGGCTCTGCATGTCTAGGAGGCAAACAGTCACAACTGGGCTGGTAACTACTTGTGTCTAATCTCAAGACTGAGGCTTGAGGTGAGTTACCCTGACTGAAATTGTATTAGAACTATTAGAATACAAAGTGGTAGTTTAACTAAGGAAGAAGACAGAAACAGTGTGTGTCTGCCTTTGCCTGCAAAGGGTCCTGAGGCATAGTTTTGAATGTCATTTAGTGTGTGTTTATGCTCATGTATGTATGGGTACATGTGTGCCTATGTACATGCCCGTGTATGTGAGTGTGTATGCAATTAAAAGGAACACAGTCCTCCTTTTTTTAATGAGATAGGGCCTCTCACTGGCATAGAACTCTCCAAGTAGGCTAGGCTGGCTGACCAGAAAGCTCCATGGATCTATCTGTCCTCACCTCCTTAACTCTGAAAGTACAAGTACATGTCACCACACCGAGCTTTTTAAAAACTTTATTGAGAATTTCATACATGTATATAAGGTGCTTTGATCAAATCCATGCCCATTCCCTCCCCTCCAACATTCCCCCCTCTGAAGAAGTAACCCTAAAATCTTTTAAGGATTAAATACAAGCTCCCAAATACTTTTGACATTTTTGACCTTTAGAACAGAGTATGCTAACAGGCCCAAGGACATTTTTACTTTTAGCCCAGAAACTGACTTCTTTTCTTTGGGGTCTTTTTACCATAACTGCCTAGCCAATTCCTACCTCCTATTCTTATCACACCATCCTCTGAAGGGGTTACCCAAATTGTGAATAGGCAATAGACACAGACTGCTCTGGCTTCTTCCATGCTGAATAGGGAGGGATACAGGGTGAGGCAATTGGAGTACCCCTTTAGTGGGTCTATCTAAAAGACTCCCAAATTGCATAATTCTTGTCTCTAAGGGGAGAAGAAAGTCCTTAAATCATGAATAGGAGATGTGAAGGAGAAGTAAA